GAGAGAGAGAGAGAGAGAGAGAGAGAGAGAGAGAGAGAGAGAGAGAGAGAGAGAGAGAGAGAGGGAGAGATTGTCTTGCCTTTCTCTCCCAGACTTCCCTATCTTTTCTCCTGTATTCGTTAGATCCATTGCTGTCATAAGATACTCTTTATTTTCATAATGGTCGCTATCATGTAGTCTTCTTTCCCATCCCGAAGTTGTTTTTTCATTACCTCCTAACAAAAGGCCAGGATCTTCGAATATGTCCGTCAAAGTGCTTTGGCCTTGTACTATTCTGCCAATTGAGAAAAAGGAGGAGGGGAGAGGAGAGGAGTGGATGTGTATATATATAGCCCTGGAGGGGGGGGGAGTGTGTGTGTGTGTGTGTGTGTGTGTGTGTGTGTGTGTGTGTGTGTGAGAGAGAGAGAGAGAGAGAGAGAGAGAGAGAGGCAGAGAGATAGGCAGTTGTGGAGAAACAACCAGGTGAGCCCCAGCAATGCACAGGCATTGTCCATCATACTTCTTTTTGGGTTCATGTGAAGCCTCGGGAGATCATCTGCTGATAAGATTGATCCATCACCAAGAACTCCCTTGGCATGAGTTAGCCCCCGTCCAGACTGACCCAAGTATAGAGGGACACTACTGGATAATGAACAAACGCTGGTCCTCCGAGAACAGGGGGAGGAAGGAGAAGACAGGGACAGCAACAAGAGGACAGACCCCCCCCCCCAGCAGGCACTGGCCGTTGTTGAGGTCAACATTGAGAGAGGCATTTCTGGAGAAAGCTACAATTCCAGAAATCAAGGAAGAATTGCTCAGGCAACTGCTACGTGGTACCTCACCGAATGATCAGGCAGGTCAGCGATCTAGAAGAGAATATGAAGGATGTGATCGATACTATCCCACTGTGTTACGACAAACCATTGGTAGCACTCAAGCACATCAAACACACAAGTGTGCAACAAAACATAGCAGAATTTGAAGTCTATGAGTACAATGAACTGATAGATATAGAGAACTGAGTCCTTCAGGACCTCCATTAAAATTGGAAGTATACAGTGAAGATTAGAAAGGGGGGAAAAAATGGAGATAAGAAACTGAGAAAAGTCAATAGTGAAGGTGGAGAAAGAGAGCCTGATAATCCTGGAATTAAAGACGCACAGACTTAGGGAA